AAACATTGTACCCGTAGGTATTTTTGGTTGACTTTTATCACATCCACATTCAATTAATTCACCTTTTGAACAAGCTTTTGCTATATTATGCATGACTGCAGCTGATGTAAGTGCATAGATAAAAGCAGTTTCAGGTGTTTCTAAAAAAAAACAAAAAACAAAAGAAATGCTTATTTCATTTCAAGTAGTCTAATTATTCTCTTCTTCAATAATATATACATTTGTTTATAGACAACAAAAAAAAAGAAAGTTCAGGGTCTAAATTAAAATGGTATGTTTAGCTTGAAGGTAAATTACATCAACAAAACAATGAGTATGCTTGTCTCAAGTTGCATCCTGATGATGACATCAAATAAAAATCATGTACGATATTATGTAATATAATTATATATTTTCTTTGACTACAAACAATGATATTTTTGTATACACAGAAATGTTCCAAATGAGAAAAGCGTCGTTGATCTCGAATTTGAATCGAATCCGAGGGAAGTTTGAAAAATTTTACATTATCATCTTATTTATATATATTGAGACTTACTTCGTAGAATAAGTTTTCCGAATATTTGTGGTTGATTAAATAATGAACAATTCCATCGTTGATTACGAAATTGATATTGACATTCATCAATAGCCATACGTAATGAACGATTAATAATAGAAAATATTTTTGGATTTGTTTGACAATATAAACGTTGTTCATATGTTAAAAATGTTAATGATGAACAAAATTGTTTTTCTTCAAATGATTGATTTAAATTTTGAAATGATGGTAAACCAAGAGACCTTTTAAAACAAGATTTATAATCATTTATTAGAACATAATATGTGTAAATCTTTATTCATCTTCTTCTACTTGAGAAAATACTTACCACCAAAAAGCATAAGAATTTGTTATAATCGTAATAAAAAGTAATTGTTGATAATGTAAAAGAAACATTATGGATTTTATTTTATTGAACACAAACAAAATTAATTGTTCGACTATTTTCGATGTTAATGACAAGTAGATGTTTATATACCTATATATTGATCAACGATGAAATGAACCATTTCGCTCTCCTCCTTTTTCTACTCTTTAGCGCAAGCGAGAGAAAGAGAGAGAGAGAAAGTCATTCCTATGAACAGCTATTTTTTTTTTCTCTACTCTCTTGTTCATGACGAAAAAAAACAAAACAAGGTGAAAGTGTGCAATAAAAAAAAAAATTTGATTGGACTTTAAAACTCAAAGGAAATAAAATATCCGGTTGTGAATTATTTGCTTAGTGATCATATGATATGACTATGAATCTTAAAAAAAAAAATTTCTAATAATAATTAAATATGTAATCAATCTCCTAGAAATATTTATTAAACAATCTTAATCTTTTTGTCTGATCGATACTTAAACTTCAAAGTTGAATTTCATGCTGACTAGCAATTAAATTGTTCTATTGTGGATATATGCATGAGTTCAATATCATTCTCATTACATCTGTTCATTTTTCTCTCATCATTTGAGTTTTTGAAATTTTCAACAGCTGTCTGTAGATGTTAGATCATCACTTTTTTTTTTTTTTGTTTTGACAACAACAAACGGTATCATAACGTTCATATTAGAAAAAAAAAGAAACGGAGTGTGAATATAAAACCCTTTGAGCAGTATTTATATATGGTGCTAGCAGCTTGTTTAAACCTTTAAAGAATAAATTTTTTATCACTTCAATCATGTAGATTAATCAGATAAGTGAGAAGTAATAACAAAACAAAAGAAAAGGATCCACGGATTATTTTTTTTTTCTCTCTCTCTTCTCTACAGGCTATAATTGATTAATATCGTGTAATCGGCTTAGTATAGTTGTTTAATTTTTCTCGAGATAATATCATGAGAGAGAGATCGAATGAAATTATATTTTATATTTGTTAGAAAAACAATTAGAGATTGTGATCGAACAACAGGACTCTTTTGAAAATAAATAAGATCATGGAACAGTATATGTGACACATGACAATTCGAAAATATATTCTTTCATAGGCAATTTTAATAGTTCGTGTTATGTTTTTAAGTTTCAAGAAAAAAAAAAAAAAAAGAATGTCTGATTGTCAACGTATTTGTCATAGATAATTAACGTTATTATCGATTAATTGCTTTTCTATGAGATTTAATTGAGGGTTGATATGAGACTATATTTCAGTAATTCATGCTCAAGTATAAAGAGAATTCTGTGATGATAAAATTGCGAAAAAAAAAAAAATGTCAAAATTCATATCATCAAAAGCAAGATAACATTACGTGATTAAAATAATTATCTTGATGTTAATCGAAAGAATAAGATTGTTTTTAATAGAGAGATTCAATACACAGATGTTTTTTGTATACATGAATAGATCGATGAATCATCGTATTTTTCCTTTTTATTACACAGGCAGTCAAAGATAAAAATTGGAGTGAATTTCTTTTTTTCGAATTTTCTTTTGCATTAAAGTGTAGGCATCTGATTCAAATGGTGACATGGATAGTATGAAAGACCGGAGGAGAATCTGTCTGTCTATATAGATGTTTTTGTATTTTTTCCTTGCAAAAATAGGTTTAAATGCTATTTTCTAACTAAGAGATTTGCATTGAAATGAAAAAAAAAAAACTACAAGACTAATCGATAGAGAATTTCACGTTCTGTTTGTATCTAAAAGAAGATTTTGTTCCCAAAGTCGATTTTTACTTTCAAAACTTAATTTTTTGGTGAGAATAGGCGAAATACAGGAGAAAGTGAAATTTCATCGTATTTCGTTTGTGTTGGAGATAGTTAGAAAGCTAGAAATCTGGCAAATGTCTCATTCAAGTCTACCATGTAAAAAATTCGAAAGTAAATATATCTTGGATATGAATGTTTCTTGCCTTAACCATCATACTATCTATATTACCATATGAATCTGTGAAAGGATAATTGTTAGTGAATTTTCGACGGGAAAAGAATACTTGACTTTTTCCGAGAGCATATAAATTCATGTTTCTTACAATTGAATATTGATGTGATTGTATGCCAAAAGGTGTGAATGGCTAATGGCGTCGGCAAGCTTTTCTTCTCGGATCACCTGTAGATTATGACTGATAGAAGACGAAAAATTATCGACTCTCACCTATTCTTAAAAAAAAAGAAAAATAAGTGAAAATTTCTGTTGAGCGGCAATAGAAATATGAAAGTAATAAACTCGGAATTTCCTATTTATGAAAGATAATAGCTGCAAAGGATTCAAATTTTTATTTATTTATCAAAATAAAATATGATTATAAAACACAAAATGAAATTATACTATTATTCTTGTGTCTAATGTTTTATATAATATCTATTTCAAGCATATATTCCATTGGTAGAAATGTCAAATATTAGTTTTTATACCTGAGAATATAATCATTTAGATAGCAGTCAGAAATAGATTATATGCTTTGATTTAAAAACCTAAAGTGCATCATCTTAGAAAATAATCTAAAAGATATTAATACTAAAAAGACTACACATCATTACACAAAAAAAGGCATATATTGATAGAGTTAGTGTTACAATATTGCAGCGAACGCAGATGTGCAACATAAACATTATTCACATCAAACAATAAAATAGCGTCCTCTGTCGTGTATTCTTACGTTTTTTCTATCAACCATTCATGTTGATTATAGTTTTTTTTGTTTTACTTATATATTGGCATTAGAATTTGAACTTTTTTTTGTTTTTTGATTTTGAAAATTTGATTAATAATGTCTGTTATTGATAAGAATTATCGTCAAAAATGTTGGTTAGCACGTGATGAATATTGGAAATGTCTTGATATGAATACAGAAGATAAAGAAAAATGTTTAAAATATCGTCAATTATTTGAATCAAGTTGTCCAGCAACATGGGTTACACATTTTGATCAAAAACGCGATTATGATATATTTAAACAACAATTAGCAGTTGGTCAAGTAGAAACAGACAAATTAAAATCTATAAAACAACAACCTACACCTTAATTTTATTTAAGTTAATCATATTCGGTTTTTTCTCTTGTCTAGTGTTTTATTTTTTTTTAGATAATTTTTTGCTACCATTTGTTTAAGTAGTTGTTTTTTTTTGTTTTTTTTTTCGAAGAAAAAATATACCGTTTAGATAAATAATAAAGCTTGTTTGTTTATTTTTTATAAAGAGATAGTTTGAAAATATGGGTCAAATAAGATAAGCAATTATCTATGATGGAAAATTAACATGAAATCAAAGATGAAATTATATCGAAAAGTATTTAGTTTTATTTTCCTTCATACATTCATATTCTAATTGTGATAAAAAAAAACATAGATTTTTCAATAGATTAATTAGTTTCTTGTATTATGAAATATATTCTATGAAAAACGAGAAAAAGGTACGCAACACTCTCGATGAATTTTCAATGGTAACTATTACCGTTTGACTCAATAGGAGTTGATATTGTCTACGAGATTCTGTATGTCGTGTGTTACACATTTATTTACTAAAATATATCATAGATTAAAAAAAATACTATCTTATGCTGATTCAAAGAGAACGTAGTGTCACACAAGACAAATACAATTTCAAAATCATAAGGAAGGATATTCAGAAATTAGAACTACGTAATTAAATGTAAAATAACAAAAAAAACGAATCATCTGACTTTTAAAAAGTTACAGTTTCTATAATAGGCGGATTTTCTTAAACGATTAACAAGGATCTGACTTGTCACAGTGGATTTCGTTTCTGCCAGTTCACTGGTCATCAGTTCGAAAATGAAAGTACTTTCTGCTGAATTACTAGCTCTTCCTACAATCCAAAAAAATATCTACTACTTTGTATGTTTAAAGTGAAAAGAAATATCGAAATTTAGTGTAATGAATATCAATCTAATATATATAAACTTTAATATAATCGATCTTTAATTATTAATTAAATCGAAAGAAAAGAGAAAAACTACAATTTGAATAATATATTAATTTTTGAAAAAAGAAATAAGAATAAATATTAAATTTTTGTTTTCTATTGACTTTTAATTTTTAATGTTTTATTTTTTATTGTTAAAATCATTGTTCGAATTGTTAGTATAAGTGTAATTAAAGTTAAAATAAATAAAATTGTATGTTCTGTATCAGGAATAATAACATGATCTTTAAAACGTGGTAAAATTCGATGATAATTTGTATGATATTTTTTATATTGTGCTAATTTTTCACCAGTTTCATCGCTATACCATAAACCTTTTTGAAAAAAATATGGTAACCACCAAGTAAAAATTTGTCCAATAGTAAAAAGTATTAAATAAGGTATGTAAAGTAACATAGCCCATTTAATTCGATGATAATAAACATAAACAGCAGCTAGATGTGGTAATGAATTTATTTGAACAATTAAAAAATATGTATTTGATCCAAATAAATCACGATGATGACTATGTGTTGTATAATTTTTTATTTCTAATTGCCATGCGAGATATTCATATAGAAATAAAATAAATTGAAAAGTACATGTAGTAATTGTTCTTGACATGTTGATAGTAAGAAAATGTTAACTTGTAAATATTTATAAGTAGAAAAAAAAAATGTTTATAATTCTGATGTAATGTACGTGTCACCGTAGCTGATAATATCACGTCTATCTTTCTATCTGTAACATCAGTGTACTTTGACTTATCTTTTTCTAAAGAACATTAGTTTATTTTATGACATATAATAAAAGACGAACATAAGTCTCGTAGTAATTTTTGACCCTAGAACGGCACATGCGTAGATTTGTCGGGAAAGATTTTCTCTATCTAATGGTGTAAGTGCTATCAAGTTCTATTGCGTAGCATTGAGATATCAATAGAGAGCGCCACCTTCGATACATTATCCTGCGGTTGCGACAAAGGTGGTGCCCTCTATTGATATCTCAATAAGACTTGATAGTACATACACCATTAGGTACAGAAGACCTATCTCTGTAAACCTCCACATATATCGTTCTGAGCTCAAAGCCTTATAGTGGCTTTTAGTTGAATGAAAGTGTGTGAATATTACTTCTGCATACCAGTCTGAGTAGGTCAGACCGGATTGGGCGGTCTGTCGATTAGCAGTCAGTCGCCGGTAGGCCGACTGGTCTGAACTCCATACCAGTACCGGCTCTATCTCTGGTGTATTTGGTGCAGTTTGTTGAGTTCTATCTCGAGACATCGTTTTTGCTACAAAAATTAGCAATATAAACGAGTTTCATTACGAAATTTCATCAAAAACAGAGATTATTTTTGAATGCATTATCTTGGTTCGTGGATATCTAGCATGTATACGAATAGTGTGGATGAGCGTCTACTCTTAATAATAACACCCCCACACACCCTACGCCCACATCCACATTCAAATTTTCGAGTTGTATACTCTATGAAAGATTTCTTGGGTCTATCGCATACAAAGCTGCTCAGAAATAAAAACGCTTTCATTTCAAATACTATCAATCGTTGTCTGTTTTTTTTACACTTTTAAGTTCGAATCGTTCATACGTGTGGGTGATTGATAGTTGGTCATGTCGTTTTATCGATCTGTCAATTATAGCTAATCCATTAATTTAATGAATTATATAATCAAATATTTATTAATAGAACAAGAAACATCATGAGAAAATATTTAATTGAAAATAAATTTGTTTTTGTTTTTATTTGTTATTTTAAAGTAACAAGAGATTTGAAAATAATTTATATTATATTATAATGAACTTCTCTTTGGTATTCCTGATCCAAGATAATCTCGTATAGCTTGAATACCTAATTGACACACATTTAATGGTGGACTCATTAAAGGATTATCATTAATATTTGATGATAATGGATAATTTGACCAATCTAAATGTTTTAATTGTCCAAAATGTATTGGTAAACGTTTAAGTTCATTTTTTCCTAACCATAATGTACGTAATTCAATTAAATCACATAAAGCATCAGGCCATTCATTTATTTTATTATTATATAATAATAATGTTCTTAAATATTTTAATTTTGATAATGTTGGTGGTAAAATAACAATTTGATTACAACTTAAATCAAGAAATTTTAATGATTCCATTTGACATATAACAAGTGGAAATGCTTGAAAATGATTTGATGCTAAATGTAAACTTTCTAATCGTATTAATTTTTTAAATGATAATGGTAATGTTTGTAATTTATTACATGATACAGTAAGACATTCAAGATATTTTAATTCACATATTGCATCTGGTAATGATGTTAATGCATTAACATCAAGATTAAGAATACGTAAACGATATAAATAACCAATTTCACGTGGAAGACGTTCAATACGAAAATCAAGACCTGATGTACGTTCTGTTGATAAATCGAGAATTTCTAATTCGAATAAACCAAAAATTTCTATAAATAGAAATCAATATTATTTTATTAATGAAAAAATCTCATGTGATTTAAACCAGACAAAAAACTACTGACGGTAGTGCGATTTTAAATGTCATCGTGGAATGAAAGGTTAGAAGGTCACCAAATTAATCAACATGTGAGTCAATTAAAATCGAACAAAATCTTGCAATGTTGATGGCATATGGGTTAGGGGGAAAGAGACAGTTGTCATGCTCATCAACAACTTCACGCCTCGCCACATCTCTACTCTCAGCCTCACGATATTTTTCTTAACTAACGGCTGATCGGAGAGTTTTTTGAGATAAGATGTTTGTTCACTTTTGACCTTCTATAAAGTATTTCCGACAAGTGAAAGGCTATGAGTTTTTGCTCTTGTTGAATATGAGTTTAGAAGTTTTGTTTAAATTTTTGTTCGTCAATAGTACAAGTTAGTATCTTTATTTATTTATCAGCTTGTAAATCAAAATTTGAAATTCTTTTTGCTTTCGACAAGACGCTTCAATTTTCATTTTTATCTAAATAAACTTTTTATGTTGAAAGGTGCTGTTATAAAAAAATGCTTATACAAGATGGACCAAGAGTTATCGGGCAGCCAGTCTTTGATTTTGAATGACTTTTGATAGGAACAAGATAGAGAACTATAGCTTTCATCATTTGAAAGAGAGTGTGTTACTGCATAGTTTTATGTATTACTCAACGATTTTGTCTAATGATCAAATGTTGAATCTTGGGAAAAACAGTAATAGCTCTATGAAGATGGCATAAAAATTCAATTGCAAGATGTGTAGTAGATTCGAGTACTTACGATCGACATCCATGCCCCTACCCAAAACTTTTATCTTGTTTCGCTTAAAAGTTATCAATGCGACACTAGGCAATGAGATTGTGGACGTGGATCGTAAGTACGCGGGTCTAGTACACTTATTAGAATTGAACTTTTATGCCATCTTCATAGATCTATTACTGTTTTCCCGAAGATTCATCATTAGACAAAATTGTTGAGTAATACATGGAACTATGCAGTAACAAACTCTCTTTCGAATGGTAAAAATCACAGCTCTCTATCTTGTTCGTATCAAAACTTATTTAAAATCAAAGATTAACTACCCGGTAACTTTTGGTCCATCCGTATTGTAGAGAAGTGTCCGCTCTGCAAAACAATCGACTTCAACAATTTTTAGCATATTCGAAAAGAGTAAAAATTCATAGCTTTTGACGTGTTGGAAATATTTTCTAGAAGGTTAAAAGTGAACAAGCGTCTTGTCTAAAACCTTTCCAATTATCTGTTATTATTTGTTTTTATGCAGTGGTATGAATAGATTTTTTTCTATTTTGTGAAACACAATCTAAAAGGAGTGTTTAGTATACGAGCACAACTTTGGACCTTCTCCCACGGATTGTGACCAACATTGTTGATATACAAACATAGACTTTATATGAATAGCTAGTATTTATTTGAGCAATAATTAAAATACGATTTAGCAATAATTTTTAAGCAATAAAAAAACATTATTTGAGCAATTTTATATTATTAAATTTATAATAATTACATTCATTAAATAGCAATAGTAATTTCATATTTTAGCAATAAAAAAAAAAAAGAAAAGCTACATTATTTTTAGTTACAATTTTACTTTCACTATCAGAAATATATTGCACTGTGCGCCGTGATTGTGCCATTTGTATAAATAAATGTGTTAGATCCGTAAAACATTGTTGTGTATATACTGTTTATTTCCGAAAACTAAGAGCCTCCCTGTTATCATATACACATGTATAGTATAACACAACTCTCTCTTATAGCATATCTTTGGAATGTGCCGTAACAAAATGAACACATATTGCCGTTTTTATATAAATTTTACCTTTAATTTAAATAAATTATTGCTTATTCAGTATAATTATTGCTCAATTAAATATAATTCTATATGAACTCATTCCTTATTGCATTTCTGGAGAATAAAGTAAAACTATGGTAAAGAAATATATCCTCTAAAATAATCTTTTTGTGATTAGCAAGAGCAGCTACATCATGTAACATACTCATCAGAAATTTTTTACAAAAAGACAAAGACCCAATTGATTTGAAAATATCAACTATTTTAAATCCAGAAGATGAAACAGAAGTTCTTTTTTCTTTCAAAGATTCAATGAAGTATTAAAATTGTTGATAAAAAAGAGACATGAAAAATGTCATTTCCATAGCAAAATAGAAATCTTTTGTTTATGAACTCTTTCTTTAAATACATATCTTTGTTTTTATTATACCTCCTGGAATAGGAACAGCAGCACGACCACTTAATTTTAATCGTCGTCCACCCCATCTTCGATCATCGGTTTCAATTTGTTTTCGATATTTAGTTTTTGCACGACGAGCTTTAGCACGAAAACCAAGTGCTTTAAATTTTAATACAGCCATAAGTACTGTTAAATTGATAGTACCACGACGTCGAGTAAGATCATTTCGTTGCATAGTTTAATAAATTATTATTGAAAAAAAAAAAAAAACTTTTCAATAACAAATGAAACTAATAACAACGTTCTAGATGAAATAAAAACGAATCTCTTGCACAACAGGAGATTTTCTATTTAATATAAGAGAATATTATTTTCGAAATATTTTATACAATCTTATTTTGATGAAGAAAAAAAAATAATGAATAAAGAAAAAAGAAAGCTTTGCTATTTGAAATGTATGCTATTCTTTTCTTTTTTTTAGGAGTAGTTGACTTTGTCAAAGTTCATGTAACATACAATAAAAAAATTCAAAGTTTTTCTTCATACAATTTTTGATTTAATTTGATTGTCACTGTTGGATTGTTCAAAAATGAAGTCAACACTATGCTTTTCTTCTACTTCACATGCATAGCGGGTTCAATGGTGACATGAAAATCGCAGGTTGTGTTTTATAAGAAAAAAATCTGTCATATAATCGTGTTGTTCAAAATGTAGAATATCTAGAGTATATCCTTTGTTTCCAACTACGAAATGACAGAAAGAAAAGGATTGAGAAATTGATTTTCTCAAAAAAGAGAAAGAGAAAAGTAGTTGATAACAGAATGATCGAAACCATTAAGATACGTCTATTTTGTAATCGCATCTTGTCGAAATTTTTCGGAGTGTTTATCATAAGTTCTCTTGTTTTGAAAAATCGTCAAGCATGTGACCAATCAGTTGTTTTTAGAAAAAATGAGACATCGAAAGCGTACTATTGCAAAGTTTAAATAGTGTTATATATACTTCAAACCATGGACTATTTAAACTTTTTTAACAAATCTTCCATAGAGTAGAAGATAGGATAATTATCGATCGGTCTGAATATAACAAAATCCAAACAGCACTCATTGTAATGACAGTCGAAACTAATATCAGTTATAAATTTACGTAATGCCCATGTCAATTAATGAAAAATGATGGTTTCAGGGAAAAAAAAATTCTTTTTTACTATAGTAATTTTTCGAACAACTATATTAGTAAAATGATTGTCTGCTTCACATCCTGATCTGAAGTTTTATAAGAATATTCTCCTATATATCTGATGTCATCATGGTTATCGTAAACAGTCCTGGACTCAAATAGAAACTTTCCAAAATCTCTGGGTTTTTTTGGTAAAGTCAAGTTTTCTCTCGCTGGAATTAGTCTCTTAAAATACACATGACATATTAGAAATGAGCGCCCTAGACTGCATCGAATGGTGTTATAGACTATCAGAATTTCAAGTCAAGGCTTTTTCATCGAAAATTATTTTTCGTATTTCATTGTTTTTTTTTTTTATTCTTATTAATTAATTATTCGGAGTAGTAGAAATGAATAAAATTCATATCTACATATTCTATAGAAATTAGCAACAATGAGACAATTTTACTCTGAGTATACTTTAGAAATTAACACTAATTTATTCTAAATTCACGAAGAAAGTCCTCCAACTGATCAATTGCTTTTAAGTCGAGACTATGTGCATCATGTCAACTCTAATGAGCTATGAGAATTCAGAAAAGAATTCACGGACTCTTAGCTTCTTACTGCGGAGATACTACATTTTTTTTAGCACAGTGCTGTGGTCACCCTCGAAAAAAGCTGATTTTTAAATTTCGACTTAGAACTTTCCATAGAAACAGATCTTACTGTGAAAATTTCCAATATTTTCGTTGTTTCTATCCTAAGATTCAGCTATGGCAAAACACCTTGTCGTTTACATTATTCCTATGTACCCGCAGATCCGATGTTCTTATTTCAGAATAGGAGCAAATCAAAAGACGCTGAAACTTTCATAATAAACTATTCTCATTAAGACCTAATTTCAAATTTCAAATTCAAAAATCAGTTTTCCGAAGGATGACCACAGTACGGTACTAAAGAAATGTTGTATCTCCGCAGTAAGAAGCTAAGAGTTTGAATTCTTTTCTGGATATTCATAGCTCATTAGGAGCTATATAAAGTACATAGTCCAGAATCGAACATTATTAATTAGTTGAGAGACTTTCTTTGTTAGTAAAGATGTACAGGGTTATCCTGCATATCTCTACTTATCAATGATCATGATTCTTCTAGAATAAAACTTTAAATTCAATATATCAAATCATTCTTTTGTTATTAATTTCGTAGATCATACTATTTTCGAATAACTTCTATATCATGAAGAAAAAAAATTAATTATTCATTTTCTTGTTTTGAGAAAATAAAAAGAATTTTTCTTAGTATATTCTTTTTTTGTTTCGGTTGATGGTTTTGTTTTTTTTTTCGTTAAATCCTTTTCTTTTTTTCTTTTTTTTTCTGTTTTCTTCAAATCATAGTTATCACAAAAATAATGAATAACATGTAAAACAACGAAAAACAAAACACACACATAAATATTCGTTAATTTTGCTTGTTTTCATTATTTTGTGAATGATTGATTGATTGGCTAATGAGCAAAAATAATTCATAATTGAATTATCTTAACGATTCGATTTAGCAACACGTTCAAGTTCATCTTTACGTTTGATAGCAAATGATGTCGATGATCCCTAAATAATAAATTTATTATATATTTAAAATGAAAAAATAAAAATTCTTTTGTTGGAGTAGCCTATCAAACAATAATTCAAATAATTATCATTTGCGAATTAACAAAACTTCAAAATTTATTATTGCACACGCCGACATTCAAAACCACATGAAATATTTTTATGGTATGACTTCTAATTGTGTGCTCTATGAGATTTTTTTTTTTATTCAAAACAAAACATACTTTAGCAGCATTAATTAATTCATCGGCAAGACATTCGGCTATTGTTTTAACTGATTTAAATGCCGAATCTCGTGCACCTAGAAACAAATAATCAATTAGAAATGTTTATTTTCAATTTTTCTTTTTTTGATTTACCTGTGCAAAGTAAATAAAGTGCCTGATTAACTCGTCGTAATGGTGAAACATCAACAGCTTGTCGTCGAACTGTACCAGCACGACCAATACGTGTTGAATCTTCACGTGGTCCACTATTAATTATAGCATTAACGAGTACTTGAAGTGGATTCTAAACAACAAAAAAAAGACACTCTTTTTTTTTTTTTTTTTACAAATAATCGATTTTTACTTCGCCAGTAAGTAAATGAATAATTTCGAATGTATGTCGAACAATTCGTACAGCCATTAATTTTTTACCATTATTACGTCCATGAAACATAAGTGAACATACAAGACGTTCAACAATTGGACATGATACCTTACGAAAACGTTTTACTTGATAACGACCAGCTGAATGTGGAAGAAATTTTGGTTGTTTTGCACCAAGAATATAATCCTAAAATATGAAAATTATAATTTTTCATTTTTTTATTTTTGATTTTAACAAACTTCAAGTGACATATCCGAAATTTGTACTTCAGCTCCACTCCATTTTCCAAATACACGTATATCAGTTCCAATATTTCCTAATGTTGGATCATCAGTTATCATTGTATCCGTCATAATGATTTGTTTTTTAATTTTATTTTGTTAGAGACACGGATCTAAAATAAAATATATACATTGAATATATTATTGTGTGTTGTGTTTTATTTATTATTTGTATATGATGAATCGTTTCTTATAGCCATGTTATATTACATGTTTAAAAGTCCTCATATATGTTTTTTGATTGATTATGATTGGTTAATAGAGATATCCAGACAATATTAGGATTTTTATTGTTACCTTGGATGGATGTCAGAACAGAAAGAAGAAAAAAAAAATTGATGAGAAAAATACGTTTTGCTTCTTATTATTCATCTATCAATCAAGTTAAAATTTATTCGTATCGGTCAGTCGGTCGAATAATTGGGATTTTAATCAAGTGTGTGTTGGTTTTTTTTCTTGATTTATTTGTGAAATAAAAGAAAATCTTTTTTTTTCGTCTTGTTAAATGGATTTCTTTTTGATTTGATGAAATGAATATAATTAGAATATTGATGAGCTTCATAGTTTGTTTTATATATATATATATCAGAGTTTTGAAAATCAATTTGAGAATTTCTTTCATTCATAGTGGTGACATTTGAGGTATGTTATTTAATCGAATTAATAATATCATCGACATATTTCTCTCGGGAGGTAGAGGTGGAAGTAAAAGTATATGAGTTGTCGGTGTCATGAATAGATTCAATAGTTGACAACTTTTCTTTTTTTTATACGAGACACACGATTGATGTTTTGATTTCACTATGGGCTGAATCATAAAAAAAAGAAAAATAATTTTTACCGCTTGATGTAATCATAATATATATATATCGTGAGCTGATCAATCGACAAAATGTATGAAAGGAAAAAGGGCAAAAAAAATGGACGTTCTGATTTGATCTTCAATACAATATGTTTTTTTTGTGCACACACACATCTATCTATATATATATATATATATATGTAGAGTAGATGAAAAAGAAAAATTACTGCTCGTTTGTCAAACGTAGGTATACACATATATATATATATTCTAGATGTCTAATCAACAATATCAACCTCGTGGAGCTAAAGGTAATAAATATTTCTATAAAAAAAAAAAAATAAATCTTCTATTAATTGAAATTCTTTTAGAATATGTTATTTTAATTCCATTAGAAAAAACATCAACAATTAATATAGTTTCAATAGAAAGACGAAAAGTTAATGACATAACCGATAAAAATATTCTTCATATTGGTAGTGGACGTAATGTAGATTTTATTATATATAAAAACTCTCTACCAGGTAAAAGATTTAATTAACAAAAAAAAAACTATAATAGAATAATTAATTGAATATTATTTTAGCACAACCAGATAATGAACCAGTTCAATTTTCTTCACAATTTAAAGTTTTTATGATTGATAAAAAAACACAAGAATTACATCAAGAAAATCGAATATTACGTTTGTGGTTTTATAGTTTAACACAAAATCAATGTCTCTATGATGCAAATGAACTTATACGTTTATTATTTAAATCTGATGAATTTCCTCGAGGTAAATAAAAATGTTTTTTTTTGTTTTATCAAATACAAAAAAAAAAAAAACCAAATATCTTTTTAGATTATTTTTCTTTTATTAAACGATTAATGGAATTATTACGAATGTTTACAAGAATTCGTAAAATTGAACTTGAAATACAAACATTAAATGAAAATACTCTTGATATTGATCATCCAAGTATGATTTTTTTATTAAAAAATATAGAATTCTTTGTTTTTGTGTTTAATTATTAATTTTTCAGTTAAACAATATGTATCACGTTTAATGCTCTATGATAATGATTATCTTTCAGAAAGTAGTATTTTTCAATATAAATGAGTGTCACTAACGTAGATGAAATAACATACAGGTTTATTTTTAGTTTTAAGAAGGGGACGTGGGAAGCAAAAAAAAAAAGGAAATCCTAAATAGTTTTGGTATTAGTTATTTTTATTTTAATCGTAGTTGAATCAAATCTAATAAACATCATAAGAGATCTTTGTTTTTGTTTTGTCTTCTATTTAGTGTACGAAAAAAATCCTGGAAGATATGCTGATTTGATTAAAGAAAAATTATTGGATTTACTTGAACAAGCATTTCCAAATCCAATGTTTGTCAATGATCTGGCTAAGTAAACACATTTAATTCATCTGATTATCATAAAAAAACAATGTGTTTTTTTTTCTTTTCTATCTAATAAAGATATGTGGAATGTGATGGTCAAACAGTATTTGAATATCTTGTTGAATTAGAAGATAAAAATTTAGTTAAACATCTTGATCAAGATGGTCAACAATGGACACGTGTTATTATAGCAGCTCAAGAAGAAGATACTCATAGTTAATTGAAATAAAATTAATTTTTTTTTTTTAAAAATGTTTCTTTATATTTTGATTTTTTTTAGAAGTTATTCTCTATAAATCCATATCAGAATTATCAAGTTCATTTCAACCGACAATTGCTATAATTACTGTAAATTATTTTGAAAAATTAGCTGTTGATGCTATGATTCAAAATAAAGTAACATTTGTTCGACATAAAGCAGGTAAAAACAAAAACAAAAAACATATTTAATAAACAAAAAAAAAAAAAATTTTTTTTTGTCAAGGTGAATCCAATGTTTATACAATTGGTACTATTGGTTCACATCATGTTGTATCAACAAAATTACCATTAATTGGTCGAAGTCGTACAGCACAAATATCAACAGGAAGTACAACAACTAGATTATTAGGTACATTTCAACATGTACAACATGTTTTTATTATTGGTTGTGCGGGTGGTGTACCACATTATACTGATGCAACAAAACATGTTCGACGTGGTGATATTATTGTTGGATATCCTAATGAAGAAGATTATGTCTATGGTAATTCGTTCTTTTTTATCGAATTTATTTAATCATAGAAATAAGAAGATATTAATAAGGCATAGGTGTAACATTCTCATATTTCCTATTAAAATAAAAGGTTATTATGTAATCACAATTGATAAAACAAAAAAAAAAAAGAATACATGGATCAATAGTTGTTTTAACTTTTTTTTTTTTTTTCTTTCTCAGTTCTTAGATAAATATTCAATATGTTGTTTGTTATTTGCATAAGCATACTTATGATTGAGTATATTTAACTATCATATTTATTGTTAAATAGCAATCGTGAATAGAATAGATTATATAATTTTATAAAATTCTATGTTAAATTATGAATGAATTGATTATATTTTAAAAAACAAAAAAGTCTATTGAATAAGTTCAAACTCTTAATTATAACTTAGAAAGTGAATCACAGAAAAAAGAAATCAATAGAATATGAGTTCGAGTCCTGCATGAATAGAATTTTTCACAATCGAACGCGGACTTTTTTTCTATACCCGATACCTGATCAAAGTTAATCAACATCCAACGAATACTCTCACAGTCATGATACTCCTTTTATTTTATATGAAAAAAATATACTATTTAGTTTCTTCCATACACAGCAATAAAGAAAAGAGAGATCATCTCAAATTTTATAAAAGAAGCAAGAGATTCAGGATTCACTTGGTGTTTTTGTACTACTGAAATCCGATCAATTTCACTAAGTATATATTTGCTTGTTGCTAATGACATTGTGTTGATGCCAACCGTTACATATATGAATGCTTTTTCCATTATGATAAAAAAAAGTGTTGATCTTTTCTGATAATTCATTTTCCTCTTCATGTGTTCAATTACTTCATTATCATCATCATCTGTAGATGAATTTTCATTAGAAATGAATTCTTTTAGTAAACATTAATGCAGAACCAGGAACCGATTGAGTACCTCCTATAAGTTTTTGTTTTTCCAGCTTCGCTACTAGTTTCAATCCATATTTAAATTCTATCATATTCAATTCGAAAGTTTTTTTGTTTTTTGATATTAATTTAGGTATTTATGAAGCTGAACAATCATCTGAAGGATATGAATTTGTTTCAACATGTTATAAACCAAAAAGTTTTCAACTTTATCAATTAATAGAACCAATTAAAGAAAATTATCAACAAACATATTTAAATCGTTTATCAACACATCAATATCCATGGGAAAAATTTCTTGAAGAAGGTATAAAATATTTACTTTCACATAATATTGATTGTTTACCACCAAATAATGATCGTCTTTATATTAAAATGGAAAATAATGAAATTGTTGAAGTTAAACATCCAGATCAAAATAAAATAAATGTGGAAACCTCGGATTTAAATCCGAGAGTTATGTGTACTTCAAAAAGTGAATGAGGCAGATGAGTCATCCTAGAATGTGGAGACATAAAAATTATCCTGGCAAACTTTTTCTATAAACACTTGATTTCTATTGGCTACTGCTCAACCAATAGGATTTGGGGTAAATACAGCTCAGATTTGAACTCTTCGTCTTGATTTACCCTAAGAAAGTCTTTTTTTTTATAACTTGATTGCTATTGGTTACTGCTCAACCAATGGAATTTCGAGGCGAATGGAGCACATATTCGAGTTCTCCACCCCAGAAAACCTCGAACTATCATCTGTATGATCGGAAGATAGAGCTCTAATTGTAGATCAATTAGAGCGTGGACAAGAACAAAACCAAATTCCGTTTAATTATCTTTGCAATAGGTGAGTTAGCTTTCTTGTTTCTTTATGTTTTATATACCATTTGTAGCTCGTGAAATTCTCTATCGAATGGTATATAATAGTTGGGGTTTTATTTAACTATGATAGGAAAAGTTGTTTACGAAAGCTGGGATCGGTCGATTTTCGCATAGGAAGCCATAGGGAAAAATGACTATTTTTGCAATAACTCACGAATGGCTCGGTCGATCATGCTCATCTTCGAACTCGACCGAGATATTGTTAAGACTAAACTGTGTAGAAAATTTCATCGTGATCGGACTCTCCTTTCAAAAGTTATCGTGTTAACGGCCGGACGGCCGGCCGGACGGCCGGACACACTGACCGATTCTAGAGTGTACTCACTTTTTGAGTACACAAAAAAAGATTATTATCGACCAACAATACGTTTTGGTATGATTGCTGGTGGAAAAAATATATTAACAAATGATTATTTAAAATCAACATTATGTGATAGATGTAATGTTTTATGTTTTGATTCTGAAATTGATCAAGTTATTGCAGCTATACAAGGAAATCGTACAGAATCATTTATGATTATACGTGGAGTATCGGATTATCATGATGGAACTTTAAATAAAGAATGGCAACCATTTTCATCATTATGTGCAGCTGCTTTTATGAAAACAATTATTTATAAAATACCAAAACCGTCCAGACAAAAGCCAAATTCACATTCAAATAGCGAACATGATGATGATATACTTTAAAAATAATGCGAAACAAAAAAAGAATATTCTTTAGATATATTATATATATATATATATTCCTTTTTATATATTATGTTCTTCTTTTTTTTTCCAAAATTCTGAATAATAATAATAATATTATTAATATATTTCTAGATGACATGGATTCATATGGATGTGACAGTAGACAACGTCCATCGATTACTTTGGATGCTGGCTACGTTTCAATTTCATCACTTAGTATATATCAATCATCAAAAACACTTGGTTTACATGGAAAAAAATTAATATGTGTTATTTTTACAATTATTTGTCTTTTTTTAATTAGTTTTATTAATTTGATTGTAAGTTTTATTCACTTTTTTTTTTACAAAGAAATATTTTCAAAAAACAAACAATTCTTTTAAAAAATATCATATGAATTTTCAAATCTTGAAATCATATATTCACTGGTACCTTTTTTTTTCTCTTATTAAAACAATCTATTATGGATACAGTAGTTGCAAGAAGTTTTACTCAAACACCGAACTCGATTCAATTCGATCTCTGATCCCACTACTGGATTAAAAACTCGAGATTGATAGGCTTTAATGCAAAGGACTTGTGATGAAAACACTGGTTTTTTTTCCGTAGGGCCAAAAAAAGGACTTTTCCAGTTTTTCACCATTTAAATGTGTTAACCTCCATTTTGTTATTAGTATATAAAGATTTGTATGTCTATACTATGTCATAGATAGGCTACTCAAACTTGCTGTAATCTAGAGATGTAGAGAAGCCTCCATTATCTGGGACGGTCTCAGCATGAATCTCTTGTTTATTCATGACTGTAATCATGAAATTTTCGAGGAAAATTTGATTAGAGCAGGACACTCATTGAAGAAAAGTTAAAATTAGTCGGATATATGGATCAGTTTTCGATGATCAAACTATAATACTAAAGGATTAATATTTAGATACTTTTTATGACTACTGTATAGTTAATCATTTGAGTTCCATTATTCGACTAGGATAACCAGACGCTTCTGCATTTAAGCGACCATTGTTATTAGTAGCAAATGTTGATTATCCAACAAGTTTAAGCTTCGTTTCCTGGACGATTCGCGAGATATAAATAGTTCATTTCTTATACGATAAAATGTTCATAACTTATAGTTTCTGAAATATAGTTATATTACGATCGAACATCATTTTTGAAATTTGAAGTTCTCTTTCAAATATATATTCAAAATTCAACTGAGAAATATTATTTTTACTTCAAAAATAACATCAGATACTAGTGTTCTACGGGAACATCTTTTGTCGATTACTCGTTCCCGTAATGCTTTTAGAATTTCTATTATGATTTCAATTTTCACGTTTGAGAAAAATTATCATTTCGAGACATTAGTTTCTGTTAACGTCGTACTTTGCGCAATGAAGGATAGCCTTAAATTAAAAACTAAACTTATCATTGTTCATCAATTGAACAGCTAGATTACAAGATAATCTAAATAATAGTTCTAATAATTGAATAATAATTTAATGAATAATGAATTAGTTTATCTAGTTTTTATTATTTTTCTTTTAATTAATAAGTAATGTTAAAGTCTTTGAAAGAATGTCAAAAACTATTTCTCAACAATGTATAACATTGGATTGACTTTGATATTTTTTGTTTGAAAGAGCAAAATCTAGAGAGTATAAGACATCAAATATTTAAAAAAAAAAGCAAGACGATCTTCGAAAATATCCATTGTTTAATATCATTCCCACAGGATACTTACAGAATCCTCTAAAATGTCTTTTGATTATTTATTTCTACTATATCTTCTATGATTGATGTCCATCATAATTATGTAAAAATAGAATGATTAAATTATAGAGAGGAAAATATTCTTAGGTTAAATATTGTCAAGCATACTTAACATTCAACGTAACCCTAAATCAATTCATTTTGCATAATTTTCAATTACCATGTATATGCTAGATCCAAATCTATACTATATTTGAGATCAATCGATAAAACTACATTATCATATTTCGATATCTATTCTGTATTCGCGAGTTATTCAAAAATTAAGAAATTCTAAGTGTACTGAATTGGATATCCAGGTATTCAAAGGGTTAATATTATGATAAGTTTTATCTTAATGTCATTCGAATTTTTTCTTCGTTTCTTTTATAATTAAAAAAAGAAATATTTCATTGACTTTTTAGTGTCTTGTATGGCTTATGTATAAACTTGATTGGTCATTGTTTGATGGTGGTGGATCAAAACTATTTCGATTTGATAAATATAATAAAGAAGTTGAATTCTATAAACATGTATCATTAAAAGAATCAATTTATACAACTAATATAACTAATATAACTGAAATAAATTTATCACCAGGAAAACAAGTAAAAAAAAAAGAAAAGAAGATTTCTTTTTTGATTATTTATATGAAAAATTTATTTGTATAGATTGATATATATGGTGATCAAAATTCGATTTTATTTGATGATGATCAAATATTATTAAATACTGATAAATTTTATTTGAAAAATTATTCTTTAGTTGATTTTACAAATCTACAATCGTTTAAATTCGATAATGAAATGAAAACTCGTGTTCATCTTAATCGATTAAATTCTCAACATGTATAAAAAAATCTTCTTGAAAGATTTTATTTTTTTTGTTGAATTTCTTTTTCTTTGTTTTTTTGTTTAGATACATAATAAACATTTAAGTCTAACTGCAACAAATCAATTAGCAATATTAAATATTACTCATGCTTTTTTCTATAGTCAAAATTTAGTATTAGAAGCCAATAGACATAATCGTCGATCAATACTTCGTTTTAGTAATTATCCAAGAAAAAATCGATTTTTTCATTCTTATCAAGTATTTTTAATATATATATTTTTTTTTTAAATTTTTTTCTTCATTTAATTTAATTATATTTTAATAGAAAACTTCACATGAAAATTTACATTTCAAAAGTGATTCTGTATTTTTGGATTTACCTCGATTACCATTACTAGGCAATACTCATCGCAGTGAATCTGGCATTTATCGTATATGTATTTGTAATACAACATTTTTATTTTTACGCAGTTTTGCTCATCAACCATGTCCTCTTTGTTAGCAAATATTTTTAAATTTATCTTAGGGTGCTTTTACCGTTTGGATTGTTTTTTTTTTATATATTTGTTATTTGATTTTGTTGGTTTTTTTTTAATGCGTGCAATCTTATCTTAATTGATATTCTAATATAACTGATCAAAATATATCAATCATATTTGATAGTATTTAAATTTAATTTACAATTCTTTTTCAATTATTCGATATATTATTGATGTTTTGATTGTGTTTAAAGTTAAGTTTTCTATACATTTTCCTTATAATATTACTTGAAATTAGAATCTTGCGAGACAGTGTCAGATCTCGAAAATTCTTATATCGAAACCTGTCGTATATTTTAATTTGTTTTTATTTCTAACAGGAAAAAGAACTAGACTGCCATTTGAGCAAAGTCCGAATAGAAAAGGTGACTGACTGCATGAACCTGAAAAATGTCAGTATACGAGCCTATATGACATCTACTATTTTTTTAAATCTGAGACTTCGATAGCGAAAATCATAATGAATTTCAGTCGTGTTCAGCAAGAGATAATAAATCTGAATCAATTATTCCCATAGTAGGAAACTATGGCATATAGCATCGAAAATATTAATGGTCTTTTTCAGATTGAATTATATATAACCATATAAGAAAACTCTCAGCTGTTAGTTATCGTTTTTCGCATTCTTAATGCTGTCCGAAGCACTGTATAATAATCATTCTCGACTTTTTTTTACTTCCTAGACACCCGACTCCAATAGCTATTTTACAATGCGGCGATCAAAAGTTATTATAAAGTTCCGTTTTTTCTCAATATGTTGCACTTTTTCGAGATAATGAAAACGAGTTTCAGTAGCAAAAGTAATTTCGTCGAATGTTGCTACCATCTTTCAAAGTTTTCGTTATATCGATGATCGATAATGACAATTTAAAACATATTCTTCTGTCTCATATTTTAAACGAAACTTCAATCTTTATGACTACGGATGAATATAATTGATTTAATTCAAAATACATATTTCAAAGTCTATGCTTAATTATACTCACTTTAGGGAAGAAAAAGCAAAAAATTCGTACTTCACCATTCTCCAAGGATATGTGATAGCTAATCTCTAGAATTTCTTTAATGTTTGAAGTCTGCTATGAACGTGTATCAGAAACATGTTGGTTTAGGTTCATCTTAAATGAGTCTGTCTGGTGATGAAGCCCAAATATTTTGTCCTACATTAATATTTGATTATCAGTGAAGCATGATGATATATTTGAGTAATATTTCCAGAGAGACTTATATAAAATGAACTTGAATCGACATGCTTATGAAACATATTAGGAGCATATTTGAAATAGTTCAGAAATTCTAAAGAACAGCTTTGACATATTCTTGAAGTGCGGGAAAGTACGCAGTTTTCACTTTTTCCGCCTTGGGATGAGCCAAGGGGGAAATAGCAGAATCCTGGAATCCTATATAATCTGGAAGTCTTGAATTGTTAGATTTATTGCTATTGTAGAACAATCTTTTACCATATGTAAACAGTTAATAGAACATTTCTAATAACATTTTTCGTAGATACTTCATTCAGAAGTTCATGTTTTCAATCATGACTAGGCAAATTTATCTCTTTTGCTATAATTAGATGATCATTAGTATCAAACCATGTCAAATTTTAATCATTAATAAAGAAACTCATTGAATGCTACTATATATTTAGAGCTCTGTTAGAATAAATTGATCTGAATTTATTGATAGATTAACGAAGAAACAGGCTCAATTATTGCGCTTGAGGCTGAGATAAGGCATCACTAAGAATCAACACTCAACCAAATACAATTAGCTAGTCATCGATATGTACATATATCAGTGTTGGGTAACTCCAACTCGGAGTTGGAGTTAACTCCGGAGTTGACAGTTTTTTTCATTAGAGTTGGAGTGGAATTTCGCAATTAGTGGGTAGAGTTGGAGCGGAGTTGGAGTTGATGTCTTTTTCCAACTCCAATTTAACTCCCATTGATTTCAAGACTCACCAGAAGAGAACGGAAAAAAGTCGACAGTAAAAACACGTGCATGCCTATGGGATTTCTGACGCAATTAAGAAAACTAGGAATGAATGACCATGAATCATTACATTTAGAGAGAGAAAAATAGAGAGAATTTAGAAAGTCATTGGTGACGTGATTAAACATTATTTGTTAAACAATTCGATGCATCGAGACTGTACCTGCTGAACGGGCCTTTTCAAAAAGTGGATTATTGATGAAACCACATCGAAATCGACTGTCAAAGGACATGTTATCTATATTAACATTTATTAAATGTAATCTTGACTTGTTGAACTAATATTTCAAGTTTACAATAAAAATTCTATAGAATAATAATAATCCTGCAACTCTTTGATATTATTCATCGATTTATATTGAAAAAATTGTCTTTTTAAACTTGTATTCAAATGAGTTTGACTTAGTACACGGTTGGAAAAAATATTATTCCAGGGGGGTAACGCTATAATTTCAAATAGAAGACATAATAAATTTTATATCAAAGGAAAGCTCGTTAAAAATGGGGTTTATTGGTATTAAATAGTGAGGGTTATGAAAACCTTTTAATGTCGAGCTTAATAAATTTTCAGAAATTTTATACTTTTTTTGGGATGGAAAATTAAAGTACTAGTGATTCAAGAATGGAATAAAATGTTTTTCTTGAATATTTTTACACGGTTCGATAGAGCTCGTCGAGCTCTATAAAACTGTATACATTAAAAAAATTTTAAGACACTTTTTTTGTGATAAAAAATTCAAAAAACTATTTGGAAAATCTTAGAAAACATGAAAAAAATTCATATTTTTCATGTGGAAGAACAACACTTACTTTTTCAATAAAAGTAGCTTTTTTCATTGTTTTTACTCCGTCAGGCGTTTCGAAACATACTCATTAGACGCAGCTTTTCACACTGCATCGAACGAGTATATTTCGAGACGTCTGAGGTAGTAAAAACAACGAAAAAAGCTACTTTTATTGAAAAATTGAGCGTGTTTCTTCAATTTGAAAAAAAAAGAGTTTTTAAATGTTTTTGAGGTTTCCCGAATAGTTTTTTGAACTTTTTATCTCAAAAAGATGCCTCAAAAAATTTTTAACATGTACAGTTTTGTAGAGCTCAACGAGGTCTATCAAACCATGTAAAAATATTCAAGAAAAAAATTGACTTCATTTTTGAATCAGTGGCACCTTGATTTTCCACCCCAAAAAAATATAACATTTCTGAAAACTTCTTAAGTTTGACATTAGAAAGTTTTTACAAGCCTCACTATTTAGTATCAATAAACCCCATTTTTGACGAGCTTTCATTTGATATAAAATTCATTATGTCTTCTATTTGAAATTATAGCGTTACCCCCCCTGGAATAATATTTTTTCCAACCGTGTATATAAAAAATTGTTGCATGTTTTTCCCGTTCTACAGACGAGTAATTCGATAGTAAACTAATTAATTTATGACATTGTTGTATCATATTGGGAAACTAATGATCTATTGTTGTTTTTCAAGTTCAGGTTCTCATGATATCTATTGCCGTAAAATTTCAACATTAAAACAGTTTTTCATTCAATTAGTTGCATATAATGTTCCAAGAAGAAAAAAAGAGAAAATGATCTGATGAATTATTTTTAAATTTAAAGATTTCAGTGTTCAAGTAGTCGTTGTTTCTTTTTTTTTTGAAAATATAATAAACTGTATAATAAAGTTGTGTATACTTAGTTTAGAGTATTTATTCGTGAACAATTCAGGAATCATATTTGATTAAGAGACTTTTATTTTCAAATAAATTTACAATTTTCTCAATATAGAAAGTGCTACAGGCAAAACTATCATTTTTTTTTGACGCGAATGAAGATGTTGATAACCGAATATGTCTTATAAATCACAAAATTTGAAGCACATAGAGTTCATTTTCTATAGATTCAATTCATTTTGTTTTGTACGATTATTAAAATGAATTACTTGATTATTGTCTAACAATCTCTTTATTTTTCGGCCTATTTTTTTTTTCAATTTCATATTATTTTGGAGAAAAGAAGTATATTTTTCATATGTGACTTTAATTTAAATAATAAATTTTCATAATACTATTGTCAATGAAATCATTTTTAATATTTTATTTAACGTAAAATAACTTGGGCACGATATATACATGTGCTGTTGTCTTGTATTTATGCACAACAATTGCAAATATTTGAGATACCTCATATCTTTATGCATAAGATACTACGACTTGAAAATATATTTTGCAATTAAACGCGAGATTTTTAAAATTTCCAACAAACAAGCATGTTCTTTTAAGCTTTTGCGCTTGATTCAGAAGAATTATAGTGAATTTTTTTCCAACTTCGCAGTTTTAATTCTTATGATGAAAGAATCAAAACATCAGTCATCATATTTATTTCTTCCCAGTAATGACGAAATATACCGAAAGATATTGTATCTTTTTGTGGGTGTCTTTGTAGAAGAAATGAGTAACTTTATCCGAAAGAAAAAACAAAGCTCTCAAAAAAATAATATTGAAAAAGTTTATCATGATATTGTTGATCAATCTGATACCGAACATTTTATTTCATTCAAGAAAAAGGCATATAAATCAATAATATTTATATATTAAAAAAAAAGAGAAAGTTTCAAAACTTTCTAATATTTGTTTTTAAAAATTTCTGTTATATTAAAAACTTATATTATCTTCAAAGATAGTATAATGTTAAAATTTACAATATTTCAAAAAAAAGAACTTATTGTTTTACATAGTTGATTGATTTGTGAAGTTAAGAAAACTTTTAACATTTCAGTAATTTTATTTATTCGAAATTCGTACATGAACTCTATCAAAAGCTAATGCCGATCTGTAAACAGAATTTATCATAAACTTTAGTATAGTTTCGCTGTCAGTCGATATCAATGTTTTTTTTTTGAAGATTAACAATGTAATTAATAACGTAGCGAAATATTGTCTTTTTATTGAATACTTTGTTCTTTATTATCAGATGATCGATTGATTTCTATCAAGTTTTCATGTGTGTCCAAAGCAGGCAAGAAAATATATTTTTTGCGAAAAAAAATGTATGCTGTTTTTGCTGAGAGGCAAACGATTGTTATTCTTGTAAAAAGTAACTTTGAGTCGTCATCCACTTCAGATTTGTTCTCTTTTCAATAAGTAGGTTTTTTTTATAGAAATGAAAAAAGTCTTTAACTTTGTCGATTTCGTGTGACTCAGGCGTATATGACTTCATGTTTGCTTACTCGTGATTGCTGTTTATGACGTCCTTGGAAATATTCTCATTTGTTGGAAATTTCATTTGCTTCCGTTTTCTTCCACATATATCTATGCACAAAAAACAAGCTATTGTTGTATTTAGTTTCAATCAGAATTACAATGGCTCTATCAGAGAATCAAAAAATTGATCTATTTGAAGTAAACTTCGATTTCAAATCCTAAATATTATTTGTATTTTATTAATTTATAGTCAATAACTTATCGGAGAGATCGAGAAAATGTGATTGATTTTTTAACACGGTACGAATGGGATATTTATGTACGTGAGTTCTACATTTAGATGAAAAAATTAAATGGAATTCAAACACTAAATAATTTTTATTTTCATTAGACTGCTATCGAAGCATATTATGCACGTCCTGGTAAATATTTTTCTTTATTTCTTTTTTTTTTAAATAATTTTTTTCTTTTGATCAATGCAGAAGAAATTAGTAATGTTCAATCAAAAACGTTTACTTTATTTCGAACCAATTCAAGAGAAGTAGGATTTCGATATAAATTATCGGATGAACATCCGATAGAACAATAAAAAAAAAAAAAACTTTATTAAAAATCATTTATCTCTTACAGACTCATTCATTGGTAAACGCATCGCTTCATTCATTTAATTCATTACGTCCTTCACTAACATCAAGCAATTACAATCAGAGTACAACTACATCGAATACAGAAACTTTTGATGACCAAATGAATCCATTACTCAAATCAAATATAACAACAATATCTCCAATCTTTCCCCATATCAACTAGTTTGGTCATGGTTAGTTTTAGATTTTTATAGTTTAATTCTCGTCAAAGATAGAAAAATTCAGCTTTGTTGAAACTCTTATCTCTACTGATCATTTATCAAATAAAAATGATAAACACAAAGAATAATAAAATCCTTTGCAAAAAAAAACTAATGCAAAGGAATTTATTCTTTATAAATAAAATCAGAGAATGTAGGACTTTTTATAATCAGAGTTAGTGGCTGATTTAAAAAAAAAATTTAAAATTGAAGTTGCCCATCTCTACCATGAATCAATTTTTTTTGTTTACACTAATCGGATAAATTATTATTTAGACAAAAAACAACTTCTTCAATATATTGATTCGAATATTATTGGTAAAAATCTTCTATTCGATACTCCATGGGGATCTCGAAAAAGTATGATTATCTCTACTCTTATTATACTAAGAAATCAATGTTTCTTCTATAGTTATTTATGCTGATTATACAGCATCTGGACGTGCTTTAATATTTATCGAACAGTGTATCTTATCAAACGTGTTACCTTAGTAAGAATAATTTCGATCCTAAAATAAGAAATAATATTATTTTTTAGTTATGCTAATACACACAGTGAAAATAATGCATGTGCATTACAAACTATAAAATTTCGTGAAGGATCACGAGCAATGATTAAACATTATGTCAATGCAACCGATGACGATGTTCTTATTTTTACTGGATCAGGTAAATAAATATTTATTCTTCATTTAAATGATATTAAAAAAAAAATAATCGACAATTTTTTTAGGATCAACCGCTGCTATTAATAAACTTGTTGATGTATTACATCTAAAAGATGAACAAGTTCGAAGTACAACTGTTGTTTTTATTAGTACATTTGAACATCATTCAAATATTTTACCTTGGAAAGAAACAGGAGTGGAGGTATATTTTTTTTAAAATCTCTTATTTACAAAGTCATAATGTTTATCTATAGGTTATACGTATTCCAAATAATAAGTTAGGTCTTCTTGATGAAGATTTTTTACAAAATCAATTGAAATATTATCATGATGAAGTTAAAAAACATATTATTTGTACATTTAATGCTGCTAGTAATGTAACTGGTATTCGAACTGATGTGGATCATATATCAAAACTTGTTCATCAATATGATGGTTTGATCTTTTGGGATTATGCAGCAGCAGCACCTTATATTAAACTTGATATGAATCCATCAAAATTTGATTATAAAGATGCTGTTTTTATTTCTACGCATAAATTTATTGGTGGACCATCGACACCAGGTTGATATTGACTTGATTGAGAGAAATGAATGAATTTATATAAAAATAATTTTGTTTTTTTTAAATTTAGGTATTTTAATTGCTAAGAAAAAACTTTTTACCAATCAAGTTCCAAGTGCTTGTGGAGGTGGTACAGTAAATTTTGTTACTCGAGAACACGTTGAATATGCAACAGATATTGAAACACGTGAAGAAGGTGGAACACCCAATATTCTTGGTGCTATTCGAGCTGGTTTAGTTTTTCATTTAAAAGAATCTGTTGGTTGTGATACAATTGAAGCACGTGAAGATGCATTAGTTTCAAAATTCTTTACACGATTTCGAAATCATCAAACATTATTTATACTTGGATCATCAACTGTTTCTCGACTAGGAATATTTTCATTTCTTATTTATGTACCATTTTTTCAGAAATATTTACATCATAATTTTATTTGTGTTTTATGAAATGATTTATTTGGTATTCAAGTACGATCCGGATGTTCTTGTGCTGGACCTTATGTTTTAGTAAGTATAATTTTGAGAAAAGTTTATTTATTTTTGAATAAAATTTTTCTTTTTTGTCTAATTTAGGATCTACTTAATATTAATGATCAAGCAGCAAACATTTATACAAGATTTATTACAGTAGATGAAAAGTAAATTTTAATAAATAGATTTTTTTGAAATAATTCATAAAAATTTTAGTGCTCGATCTGATGGAATTCCTAAAATTGAATTAATGAAACCCGGCTTTACTCGATTTAATTTATCATATTTTGCAAGTGATGAAGAAGTTGATTATATTTTAAATGCAGTCGAATTTATTGCAAATGATGGATGGAAATTTTTACCATTGGTAAAAATTATTTTTTAATAATTTGTATTTAAAATAAATTACCTTTGCTTTGTTTTTTTTGTTGTTTTAGTATACTTATGATCCACAAACTGCTGTTTGGCATTCTCGTACTATGTCATCACAAAATCAATCTTCTCAATATCATAGTCTTCAAATGATTACTTATGCAAATGGTACAATGGAAGAGAATATTAGACAACAACAAAATGAGATTTTTGTAATTAAACTTGATTTTTCTATATATAAGTTTATATATTTTTTTCATATAGAATCCAAATGCTCCTCATCTTATCATAAATCCATCTTCAGATGATCCGATCGAGGAAGCTAAATCAATAGCAAATGATATACCAAAATATGTTTATGAAAATTTTGATTCTCAAACTGATCCACCATTATATATTCCAGATGAATATACAAATTTTGTTTGGTTTGTTATACCGAAAGACATTATTCGAAAAATGGTCATTGATTTTGGAAGAAATAAAGAAAATATTCTTCAATCAACACCATTTCGTCCGAGAGTCGATGATTAATAAATTATCAACAATAAACTCGATACTGTTATATTTATCAAAAACTTGTAATCGATTTCATTTTTAATCTGTTAAAATTTTCTAATCAATCGTCAGCCATCATATGGATTTAATTGTGAATATGTAATTATACATAATTATTTCCAAAAATAAAAATAAACTTGTACGTTTTTGTACGAATTTCTTACTTTCTATAAATATCTACTTGAATTGTTGCATCTTTGAAATGATGGAGAACCACAGAAATAATATTCTGTTGTAGGATTATTGAAAACTTTATTGATTCAATTTTGAAAGAACTAATATGAAAACATTAGTTTGCTATCAGATATTGTCATAGAGTAGTTTTTCACCCTGTCTCATTGGACAAGACAAAATGCTTTACAAGAAAAAGACATAGTTGATTTTTTGATGCCGGGAAAATCTAAAAGTCAAGGAGAAACTTCTCGCATATTTTTCAGAGGACTACTTACTAATATGACTGTAGTCAATGTTCAACTATATAACGAACATGTTAGGTTCTATGTACCACAGATAGCAACGACACACAAGACATGCTTTTTCCTTACCATCATACATTGTGACAGACATCTTAACGAAATTTCTCAGGAATTGTGACGAAGGATAATGATGTGGGTGTGGAGTGTGGATAAAGAAAAGAACTAGACTCACACCCACAGTTCCACACAAACACTCCAACGCCTGTACCAATTCTTTAAATTTGGCTAGCCAACATTACTTGTTAATGTGAGAACAACCAGATTTTTTTTTCTTTTTGTTTTAGAATAAGTAATACAAGAAAGATCAATATGTAAATAATAATTGAATTTTATAATTTTTTTTTTGTTTACTTGAACGAAACGACAATAACAGAAGGAGAAAAAAAGCAAACATAATAAGAAATATAATTTAGAAAGAAAGTATAAGTAACCCGAGGTCTTTCGAATTTTTATCTTTGTCAAGTGAGTTAAAATGGGGCATGAATGTGTAGAAGATAATGTTCATATCCACATCCACACTCTAACTTCTCTTTGATTCTAATGAAAGATGTTGCATTACTTTCAAGAACTTAAGTTCAAAGTTAGAAAAAATCAGAGCGAAGTCACTATATTTTGAAAAGCCGGTTTTTTGGGTGAGACGAGTACAAAGACCTTGAAATAATATTGCTTAGTTTAGTAATGATATTCAGTTGTGTTCTTGATATAAAAGGCGTCTACATTTGTTTTTTATTGAGTATAAAGATCGAGATGATGGTGCACCCTAAAGATTGGTGTGAAACTTTTGGTGTTCACAGTTGTTGTATAGGAGAATATATTATGTATTTATTTCTGCAAAAATAAATGTTCTCTTCCGTCTGTCTCTCTGATTTCCGAGTTGTCTTTTTCGAAGAGAAATCTTGAATAAAACACTGGATGTCTACACACATTTCCAGTAAAACACATGTAACTACATGCATCTAAGATTTTTTCTTTATTCACGTTTAAGTTTATATTATAATAGAAAATACCTCTGACGTCTAATGAGTTATGTACCATTCAATAATAATAAATTTATATGAGTTTACATTTTTATGTAGTTGACACTAATAGAACAACAAGTTTATAAGTTTAAAAAAAATAATAATGAAAGGATCGTTCTTTTGGAAGTTGGATAAAAATTTAAATTAATAGTATACTGTTAGTGTTTGATCGACAAGTTTAATGTTAACATGCACATATCAGTGTAGCAATATTCATTATTTAGGATCTAGTGTCTAATGATAGGCATGTTTCAACAAATTCATTAAATAAGTATTCAATACTGAACAATATATTAAGGTAGGTCATTATTTGAATATAGCTATGATATAGAGTTAACAGATTATTCTGGACTTTGTACATTTCGTAAAGAAGTCTTACGAGAGAATATATTTGAGTGTACCTACTGAGAAAGACTTTAAATGCATTCTATTCAGTGAGGACCTCGATGAATATCTCGAATATGAATCTCTTAGCTACCCTCATTTTGATTTGGAAAAACAAAAGTCTCAAACTTTTTCGTTTCTGGAGTCTTTCCTAATAGTAGGTATATCACATCATCCTTCACCTTTGTCATGTTTGCAAGGACGATCAGTTTTTTGAGCGAGGAACTAGAATATGAAGAAGAATCCATATACTGGAGCCATCTCTCTGTCACAAGTAAAGATATCATGTTTATTCTCCGAGTCTAGTTATTTCTGTACTGTACGCAACCATGTCTAAGATTTTAATATAGGGCACTTTTAGAAGGGAAAGTCAAAATATGTCAAAAGTCATTTTTAAGACTTTCCAGAGTAGTATGAGCTCATCTTTTGATCGACTTTGGTGTGAAAAGTTTTTAAAAATTCAGAATGAAAGAGCGACTGTCTGATAGCTTTCCTTAAATCCGATACTGCTACTGTGTTATTAAATTATTGAAAATGGCCAGCAATCGATCAGATGAGCATGTAGATGAGAAATATAGATGTGATACCCTTATGTATGACGAAGAGATGGCTTCAATATATGGATTCTTCTTCATATTCTAGTTTCTCTCTCAAAAAACTGATCGTTCTTGCAAATATGACAAAGGTGAAGGATGATGTGATATACCTACTATAAGGAAAGACTCTAGAAACGAAAAAGTTTGAAAGGGTGTGGGTGTGGGTATGGGAAGTGGATGTTCTTCTCACTCACACCGACACCCACAGCCCACATCAGTCTTAATATAATATTGAAAATATATTCATGTAAAATCTATGGCTATACTGATACGACCTGAATCAGACTACAATTAACAACTTCGTTCTTCGACTTGTTTTAGTTCAATGGTTGTTTGCTTGTCTTCTAATGTATTTCATCTTCTGTTCTCTTGTTCGAATCTCGCTTGCAGCTTGTGTTAAGTAGTCATAATTATATATGAATGAATGATAGGATAGTAGAATTGGATCATCAGATGAATAAATAATCGAGAGACTACTAAGGTTTTGCTTTTTGACACTCCAAAAAATGCATTTCGTGTCAGTTTTTTCATCAACAGCGAAACGCGTTCTTCTTAGCAGCGTTTCGCATCGTTACTTTTAACATCAGAGAAATGTATTAAACCGGCCTGCATTAACACATTTCTGAAACACGTTTTTTTCGCAGAAATTGATGCCATGAGCTATTCTATAAGATATCGAAATGATTCTTTTTTAGAAGTTGATATTATTAGCTGTTTTAAGGGGACCCCCCCCCTTTCCGGCGTTTTTAAGAAACGGCCGAACGAAAATTCCTGAAACTTGCAGGGTAGATAGACCTCGAGTAGTAGAGCAAAAGTTGTCATAGACACAAATTTGCCAGACGTCATCTTCATGGACTTCCAGAGACCCCAAGGTCAAAAACTTGCAAAAAGTTTTCCCCCCCGCAAATCCACAAATTTCATCCGTTTGAGCTGAAATTTTTGCTGTGGGTAGACAGACCCAATCGGGGTGGGCGTTTTTTTTTTTTTTCAAAAATTCCAAATACTTCAGGCTGGAGAACCAAAATACTGAGCACCTTGCAAAATCTCTAGATTTTTTGGATCCTAAAAATTTTGCGAAGCCTGCCAAACTTGATTGGTAGAAGGTATCCAAAAAAAAAAAAAAACGCCCAACCCAAATCACTCGAAGTCTCACCAAAACAATTTTCAGCCCGATCGGACTTGAAATGGCGGAGAAAAAGGGGGAAAACTTCATTTTTTTGCTGAAAAAACTGATTTTGAGAAAAACGCAAAGAAATGTGTGTTTTTTTGGTTTTTTCAGCATATTTTGTGATTTTTTTCGACTTTTTTATATATAAGATGTGGTTTTTCAGTTCTCAAAATGTACTCAATGGATAGAGGGCATTTAAATCTATATACTAATCACAAAAAATGAAAAATGAAAAATGTGAAAATTTTGAGTTGGGAAAGGGGGGGGGGTCCCCTTAAGCAATAAATTTACAAAGAATTTCTATCAAATCAGGATTGCTACTCGGGAATAACTAATTGGATCCATTTATTTCCATTTCATTAATCATTTTAGTTTTTTCTTTGAAACATTTTGAAGAAAATCCAATGATTAATCAAGATTTTATTAATAAATAATTTGAGTATTTTATAAATTTCATGTAACTATCTTTTTAGCTCGCAACTCAGAAAGCTAAAATAGATTAGTTCATTAATGTTCTAATCGTGAACCGTTGATTCTATGAACTCTGCAACCTATGTTTTTGCTCAAATTCCGATGATTTCGACTTTATAGAATATATTATTCTCATAAAAGGAAAAAGTTCGATAAATAAATTCATAAATCGATCTGTCTAGAATATTTCTGTGTATTTTCCATAGAAAATATGTCAGATCCCGCTGACAGATCAATAGTTTGTTCTTTTTCTAAGTTTTTCGTCTATTTTCTTTAATTTACATTTAATATCTACATTGAAACATTTATGTGTTGAACGAAATATGAATATTTTTTATTGAGTTAATGATGCGATACTTTCGATTCTATTAATAAAATAGTAATCAAACAATAATTATAATCTCTTATTATTTATAATTAATATTTTAAGGTTATTCTTGTTTATATTTCGAGACGCTAATAAGCAAAACAGAAAATGATGAAAGGTGGGGGAGTGCAGTGTGGATGTTTCTTTTCTCCATCCACAACTACCTACACCTACACCCTCGAACATGGTGATGGAACCTTTGAAAACATGACAACCTATTCAACACGAAATCGATCTCAACCGTTGGCGATAGCGTTGGGTGATATTAACAATGATACTTTATTCGATATTGTAGTTGCCAATTCTGGGACTGACATTATCGGTATTTTTCTTGGATATCATAATGGAAGTTTTGTAGCGTTAACGACGTACTCAACTGAAAAAGACTTATATCCGGTGTCGGTTGCCATAAGTGATTTCAACAGCGATCAATGGTTGGATATTGGTGTCGCAAATTTTGGCACTAACAAGGTTGGTTTGTTTCAAGGATATGGC